CTAGGGCAAGCACCGGGGTTCAGGGAGCGGCCGGCGGGGTGACGGGCGCGGCACGGGGCGGAGGCGGGTGTGGGGCGGGGGCACACCAGAGACACCTACCTCTGCACCCCCGAGAGGACAGTGTGGAAATGGAGAGAAACATGAGATGAGGTGAAATGGCACAAACTCAGGTACACGACATGGAGGGCTCCTGACCCGGGCCGGAGGGGCGGGCGCGGGGGGCACGTACTGCAGCTCTCCTCGTCCGAGTTGTCCCCGCAGTCGTTGTCGTAGTCGCACTGCCAGCGGCCGGGCACGCAGCGGTTGTTCTTGCAGCGGAACTGGTAGGGCTCACAGGTGCGCTCGTCTGGCGGCGGGCAGACACCGGGGTGAGGGGCAGGCCCCGGGCTTCCGGGCAGGGCTGGCGGCTCGGGACGGGGACAGGTGCGCGGCGTGCGGAGCTGGTGGTGTCCAGGCGGGCCGGGGGGCACGTACACGAGACGCTGCGGGGGCGGGGCGCCGGCCCGGGAGGGAGGCTCACCACACTCTTCCTTGGGCTCGTCGGAGCCGTCCCCGCAATCGTCCTCGCCGTCACACTTCCAGCGCGCGGGGATGCAGCGCCCCGAGTCTTTGCAGCGGAACTCGTCCACTCCGCAGGTCATCTGGGCTGCAGGGCGGCCGGGAGGGGGGGGCGCCTTGAGGAAGGGGCCGGAGATACCCAGGGGCGCGGGCTGGGGCGGGGCTCTGCCCGGGGACGGGCGGGGTAGGGAGTGGGGGGCCCACTCACTGCAGTTGGCAGGCTCGTCGCTGCCGTCCACGCAGTCATTGTCCCGGTCACAGACCCAGACGCGCGGGATGCAGCGCTTGGTGATGGAGCACTGGAACTGGTTGGGGGCGCAGGTCACCTCGGCTGCAGGGGGAGGAGAACAGGGCTGCCCGCTCGGCCCCCGGCACCCTGGGAACCCCTCCCCCCAGTCCTGGCACCCCCGTCCTGCCAGCAAGTCCTTGGGGGCAGGCACAGGGTCTCCCCAACTGGGGCGCTTTCGTTTCCGGACCTGCACCTCTGCCCACCAAGCGCGGTGCTCCTATGAGCAAGCCGGGCCCTCGGAGGGGTGCTGTGCCACCCCCGCCCCCACACCCCACCCGCCCGCCGCTCACGGCAGTCTCTCTCGTCTTCCCCGTCTCCGCAGTTGTCCTGCCCGTTGCAGCGGAAGATGCCCGGGATGCAGCGGTTGGTGTTGGTGCACTTGAACTGGCTGGGCAAGCACACGTGGATGTCTGCGGGGGCGGGGGGCGGGCTGGCGTGAGGGCCCGGCCGGGAGCAGCCCGCCTGGACCCAGACCACGCCCCCAGGCGGGCGGGCGGGCGGGCGGGGGCGGCCTACCGCAGTTGGCCTCGTCGCTGTGGTCCTGGCAGTCGTTGTCCCCGTCGCAGATGAAGGCGGGGTTGGTACAGATGCCCGTGGCGCACTGGAACTGGCCCGGGCGGCACTTGAACTCCGCTGTGAGGGGGCGCGGGTCAGAGGGCGGGGGAGGGGGCGCGGCCGGCCGCCCGCCTGCCCCCCGGGCGACCCCGCCGCACTCACGACAGTCTGGGGGCTCGTCCGAGTGGTCCCCGCAGTCGTCCTCCGTGTCGCACTTCCACCAGAAGGGGATGCACTTGTCGTTCTTGCACACAAACTGGAGGGCGGGGGGCGAGAGGGGTTGGTGGGGTCTGGGGGGGGTTCTGTCCAGGGGCTGGACGTTTTGGAGAGGTCGTGGGGTCAGGGGGTTTTGGGGGGTGGTTGAGCTGGAGGGGAGGCTGGGATGTGTGCAGGAAGGCCAGGCGGGGTCTCTGTAAGGCAGAGTCGGGGGTACTGGTGAGGGAGGGCGGGGGGCTGGGGGGGTTTGTGTGAGGTGACAGGTGTAAAGTATTGCTGTGGGGAGACAAGAGGTAGGCAAGAAATGTGGGGGCGTCAGCGTGGGAAACCCAGAGGCGTGAGGACATTCGAGCAGGTGTTGGGCTAAGGAGGCGCGGGGCCACCGGTGTGGGGGCCCGGAGCGAGGCACAGGTGAAGGGGCTGGGGCCTCACCTGGCTCGCCGTGCAGTTGGACACACAGGTGCGACCATCACTGCCCAGGTAGAAGTTGGTGGGACACGCGCACCTGTGGCCGCCCCCCGGGGCCAGCAGGCACAGGTTGCTGCAGCCGCCGTTGTTGACCTTGCAGGGGTGGTTGGGCACTGCCAGGGAGAGACTCGTGGAACCTCACCCACGTCAGGGCCCCGCTCCCAAGCCACAGCCCGGCAGGGAGGGCAGCGCTCGCGGCCTGGGGGCGGCCGGCCGACCACCCTGGCTGAGCTGGGGCGTTCCGAATCCTGCTCTTCCCGGAGGGCGCTGGCGCCAGAGGCTGCGAGGACTCTCCCGGGCCCAGGACGGGCGGCCGGCCCCACCCGCCTCACCAGGGCTCCCTCCCCCACCTGCCCCTGCCGGGCTGACCAGGGCTGTCTGCTCTGGGGCCCCCGCCTGGACTCCAGCGGCGCCTGAGAGCCGACCTCAGCCGGCCTGTGGCTCGGGCACCGACCGTCTCCGGCCGG